CCAAATCCCGGCAGTTCCCGGAGCATCCTCAGCCCCAAATCCCGGCAATTCCCGGAGCATCCTGAGCCCCAAATCCCGGCAGTTCCCGGAGCACCCTGAGCCCCAAATCCCGGCAGTTCCCGGAGCATCCTCAGCCCCAAATCCCGGCAGTTCCCGGAGCATCCTGAGCTCCAAATCCCGGCAGTTCCCGGAGCATCCTCAGCCCCGCGCTTTTATGTAAATTCCGGTTTTTCTTTTTCTTTTCTTCCCCCACCCCCCGCGGGTCCTAAAAAAAGAAAAAAAAAACCCCAAAAAACCAAACCAAAAACAAATCAACAAAACAAAGCGACCTGGAATGGTCCCATCCATGATCCCTGGCTGGTTGAAAGTGGGATGAGGTCGTGTCACCTTCCCACGCCTGAACACGCAGGAGTCGCCCTTGTGGAATGCCCAGCCCCGGAGCGATTTTTTCTTTAATTTCCCCCGGGATTTTCCACCCCCACCGTGATATTTCTCTTCCTCCTTTCTCATTAAACAGTTGTGCATCAAAATCCAGAGTTTTCCTGTGTTTTTTACCCATAATTTTGGGGGTTTTCCGCCAGTCTGGGTGAGCGTGGCAGCTTCTGGTGCCTTTCCACACCCAGAAGGTGCCCAGGTCCTTTCGGCGGTGACACAAAGTCATTCCAAGAGGGATAAAGAGGTTTTGGAACTCTCCCAATCCCATCCGGATCTGCCCTCGGGGCAGGCGTGGCTGTTCCCTGTTCCCAAAGAAAGTCAAACGCGGGTGACTGGGATTATTTGTGTCTCAATGCCCGCCCCGGGCTGCGATTTAATTACCTCCCGACACGGTAATTTTATGGTTTTTTTCCTTGTTTAAAAACAGCCTGGGGGAAAAACTTTCCTTGGAAAACTTCCCTTGGAAATTCCCACAGGAATGTTTACCTGAAAGGCAAATTATTGGTGTAATTCCATGAGTTCTTATAAATAAATTAAAATAAATTAAGGAGTTGTTAAAGTGCTCCCTGCAGATCAACCCACTCGCCCCTGGGAGGGTGGGGAAATTCTCTTTTCCTGGGAATTTCTGGCTGCCCCATCCCTGGAATTGTCCAAGAACAAGTTGAAGCAACCTGGAATGGGAGAAGGAGTCCCTGCCCATAAATCAAAGATCTTTAAGTCCCTTCCAACCCAAACCATTTTCTGGTTCTGTGAAACCCCAAAGGACAATTCTTTAACCTTTGATTTTTTTAATTCTCCCTGGGCTTGGAAGGAACAGAAAGAAACACAAGGAAAATATCCGAAAATGTCTCAAAGTTTAGAGGGGTTTCTCCTCCATTTCCATCTCTGTTTTGCAGCAGCCTCGGGTCCTGTGACCCCTGGATATGGAGCGAATTTGACACAAAAATCATCATTTTCTGGCCACTGCAGCAGGGGGATGTCTGGCTGGCATTTCCTGCAGTTCTCGGGCACAATCTGAAGAAGAACAGGACAGAAAACTTCCGATGGAGGCAGCTGAGGCTCCTGATCCACCTGCCACCCAGGAGAAAACTGAGGATGAGGAAAACTCGGCTCTGAACCCCAGAGGTCACTGCACCCTTGTTTTACCCCGGGCTCAGTCCGAGGACAAGGAAATGCTGTTAATTGAGATGCAATCAGCAGCTGACTCATTAAAAGCCTTGCAAAGGCAGCCTCAGCCTAATCCCAGCTCCGGGCAGATCCCGATGCCAATTAAATATCTTGTGTTTGATTTCCATACTTTATTTAATGGATAAAATGTTTATTTAATGGGTTTTAGGTGCTCCGGGATGGCAAAATCTTTATTTAATGGGTTTTTCGGTGCTTCGGGCTGACAAATTCCCTGCAGACACAAAGGCCCAGGGATGTGCCCTGCTGGATTCCAGCGTCCTTCCAGGGCCAGATTCCTGTGGGATTGGCATTTTTCTCATTTTGCTATTGGAGGAGATGCACTTCAATTTTTTTGGGTGTTTTAAATGAAATTCTCCCTCAGGCACATTGAAGAAAAGCTTCTTTTTTTTTTTTTTCTTTTTTTTTTTTTTTAACCCAAATAATTAAATAAGAATATCTAGAATCTTTGATTTTTGCAGCATCCAAGGGGCTCTGAGCAACCTGATCGAGTGAGAGAAAACCAGAGGGGTTGGACTGGATGACCTTTGGAGGTCCTTCCCTATCCAAACCATTCCTTGATTCCATAATTCCTGGTTAAATAAAAAAACCCAGAATAAAAAATAACTCTACCTGATAAATTCCCCATGTCCTGTCAGTTTTGCCCACGGCCTTTTCCAGACTGAATGACGCTGGAATTCTGTTATTTATTTTATTTTTTCTAACTTTCAAAGGATGGAAAGCTGCTCCTGAGGAGTTTTATTACAGAAACATTTGGAAAATCAAGTAAACCCAGGTTGTGCTCCTGCTCAGGGAGCAGCTCGGACCTGCCTGCGGGCAGATCAGTGAGTGAAGGGAAAAAGGGGGGAAAAAGTGGGAAAAAGGGGGGAAAAAGGGGAAAAAAGGAAACCAGGAGGCTGCTGTGTGATGCAACAAAGTTTTAATGAGCGGGAAATGCCCCTTTGCAAAGCCAGAGATCACAGAACGTGGAAAATCCATTCCCAGACAATTTCAGGGGAAATTCATTCCTGGATAATTGTGGGGAAAGTCCAACCAAAGTCTGCTCTGAGATGTCCTTAGCCGGTTTCTCCTGGCTGTTGTCCGAGGATATTGGTCATTGCAGGTGAAATCCACAGGGAATGGACTGTCCCATGTTGGTCCAATAAATTGGGAATGCCGGAACAGGGAATGGGCCGTTCCATATTGGTCCAATAAATCGGGAATGCCGGAACAGGGAATGGACTGTCCCATGCTGGTCCTATGAATCGGGAATGCTGAAAGAGGGAATGGGTTGCCCCATGTTGGTCCAATAAATCAGGAATGCCGGAACAGGGAATGGGCCGTTCCACACCCTTCCAATAAATCGGGAATGCTGGATCAGGGAATGGGCTGTTCCATGCTGGTC